GTGCTCGAAATATAAGTCAATCACCATTATGTCTGATTGATTACAGGTCAATGTACAGAAAATGCATTATGTCAAATCGTCCAATCAAAGGGCACAGTCGCTCTCTGTGATTGGGTAATTAAAGGGACAGTTTTGGCATTTAAAAGATTGGGGTTCTGTGAGACATCTGTGGATAGTAAGATCGTAGTGAGAGCAGGCTAAAGAAAAGCTCCACCGTGTAGCTTTTTAACCCCAAAAAAGGCTAAAGTAAAAGTGTTTTATTCATTATGGCTGTGTTTATTGCACTAAAAACATGTGTCCTCACTGCTTGTTTCCATCTATCTCTACAGAGAATGTCTATGGTTCGAACTTTCTATATCCAGAAAGTTACACTGTGCTGCTTAAAGGTATACTTAAATTCCTCATGTGGGGCCTTTATTCTCTGCATTTGACCCATCCTTCAAAGTGCTGGAGGATCTTGTCAGGTGTAGTGGGCCAGTGCATTGCAGGGACCCATCTCCACATCTTGAGCTTGGAAACTGTATATGGGAAATAGTGGTATGTGAATAAAAAGATATAGCCTAATACAGGTTGCCATGCTGCTGTATGATTAAAAAAAAAAAAAAACACTAACTTGAGTCAAACAAAGGAGAAAAAAAGGTTTATTCTGTGTTTAATAGTGCTAGAGCAATTACGTTGTAGGCTACAATAGCTAGTCTGGCTGCACATTTTTGCCTGTTTGGGTGGGTTTTATCAACAATGCCAACCTTGTGACAAAAACTTCACCCCGATAATTAACTTAGACTAATGAAGACATGTGTCATTACAAAAAATATGCGTGGAAGATACGTCAGACATGGTTTTGATGAATGGACAACGTTGTAACAATAAAGAAAGAGCATTTTGCATAGTATCCCCTCTTTAAATTGTTAACCATCTTTGCAGGGTCTAAGTCTGCGAAAGGCCATGGAAAAACCTCTAGATTCAAAATGGTGCTGATTGCCATGGGTGATGAGTTAGCATGACCCAATCCTGCAACTTCTGACCAAGATCTTGCAGAATGGAGCAGGGTTGCCAGGCTTCAGCGAACAAAACCTCAGATCTGGCAACACTGGAATGGAGAGAAGAACTACCTGTCGTCATGCCACTCATGAATGCCATAGAACCACACACTGAAAAATCCCAAACTGTCCCTTTACGCAGTCTTTTGATGTAGAGGTAAAAATAGTGGTGCGCTGATTATATATCGACTTGAATCAAAACATGTTAGTGAGTTCAAAACTCAACTCATCTTTTATTAAATGCAAGTATTTCTGTTTCTGATTTATTTTTGTATTTGTTTTATATCTATTTACACTATTGTTTACACACTCGGTGGCCATGTCTTTGGTATGACTCTTATATTAAGATGTAAAAATGAAAAACAGATTTTTTTTACTCATTCTATATATATATCTATATATATGTGTACATACCAGAGTGGCGCTATATAGAAAGTGTATGTATGAGTATGTGTGCCTTGGTTTGTATGTATGTTCTTGTAAGTGCAGTCTTTTTGATAATGCTGCTTAAACCGTCTGAGTGAAACAGACAGAAAATAAACCGTGGTGAAAATATCTATGACAATGTAAAAAAAGAAAAAAAAAGTCTCAAAAAGCTGTACTGTAGTTGGGAACAAAACGTAGTAAACATGGCTCCAATGCCGCCAAAAGAAGTGTGTGTCTTCATTGTGTCCAAATCAACACAAAAGGTTTCACACTGATACTCTGCAGTGATATCTCGATGGGGGTGTTCCACGTGTATGTGTATGGCGGAATGTTCATCCGTTACAACACAATGCAAACATTAGCAAATACAGAAAATAAACACATTTTCAGGAGACTGTGGTCAATACGAGCGTTCTGTTTAGGAGTTTGATTTTCAACCAAAAAGTGAGCGTGACTAACTGAAAAACTGACACTAATGTTATTTGAGAAGGAGTTGTTTAAAAGTAAAAATTTGCTCAGCTGTTGTAGCTTCAACTGAGGGCCTGTTTACATGAGAACGCTTGTGGGTAAAAACAACAAAATATTTTATCAGAAGTGCCTTTCATTTAGACGATGACTGCGTTTTTGGGGTTTAAAAACGCAAAAATCTGAAACCACCCTCCAGAGTGGAAAAGTTGAATACGCTCCACTGTAGTGTTTCCGTCTACACTGCCCAAGACACAAAACTCTGTGCAAAAGTGGTCAAATCTGCTCAGGTCGCCTACGCGTTTACGTCACATACATACAGTACACAGAACCAAACATGTCAGATCATTTCCATGCGTCGAACCTTCAAGTTTTTTTGGCAAATTTACAGGAGGCTCCCAACAAAGTACAGAATATGTAGGGATACTATTAGTGAACAGAGATGGATCTGCAATCACCTCTGTCAAATTCTGGATGCACCAGTTCGTCGCAGGTGAGCTAGACGGATATGGACGAGACCTGAGAGAACTTGTTGATAGTGAGACAACTTTTTGGAAGGAGTAGCTGATGAAAATGCTTGGTGTGAAAACTTCTGTATGTCTAAAGATGCCCTTGTTGCTTTAAGTACAAACATATCCAATTGAATTCCACACACTTTTGCTTCACTGTATGTACACAGATTTCCTCCCAAAAACGCTCGTCTAAACGCGGAATAAAAAGTGAAGACGCGACGCCACTTTTGCATCTTCTGTTCAGACCGTCATCATCTAAACGTAGCCTAAGTCAGCTGTTTCTGGTCAGATTGAGTTGAAATAAAGCTTAAATTAAAGTCTAACATAGCAGCAGACAGAGGCCAGCTATCAGGAGGAGAGAACAGGTTTCACATCTGACATCTACTGGTGAAAAAAAATTATAAAATAAACAGGTAGTGGCTATAAAAGTGCACTGTGTAACTTTCTAGTGGAGTGTCTGCCGCCTGTCTTCATGGAAATGTTATTGCTTTGTATATAATGTACCACGGTATGGCATTAAACGTATCTATTTCCATGGAGACAAGCCCACAACACCTCCAGACTAAGTTACAAGCCAGATCTGTGGAGACATGTGCTCACTCATTATAGGAATGCATCTTTTTCATGGTATTTTTGAACACCATAACTGAATAAATGCAGCACAGATGAGTTTATTAATGCCCTACTATGAAACCTTTAAGGCAAAACGATAATATATCCATGGAAAGTAGTTTATGGCAGAACCCCTACCTGAAAAATTACACAGTGCACCTTTAACTAAAACGACTGCCGTATCACAAAAAGGGCAGTGCATTGCATGTGAGCAAAGACATCCAGATAACATTGTATAAGGGTGACAAAAAAATCCATGGCTGTTCTTGGCTCCGTTGTCATAGAAACCATGCAGTGCTGAATTCGATGGCTCTACCTCACCTTTCTCTACTGTCTGTACATGGGCTGGTGTTGCCTCCTTGTGTCTAAAAACACTTATTACAACACAGAACATTTTACACGTTATATGGACGCACTACTTTCGTTTATGTCATTAAAGATGCACTATGTCACTTTTGTAGTGGAGGGTACTCTACCTGCCCTTCTCTGTGGATAATTTATCTTGAATTTATAAAATTTTTTGTGTTTTACCATCTGGTGCTTTACCATTTCTCCACAGATCTGACCTGTGACCTGGCCTGGTGGTGTCCTGCCTGTCTCCACGGAGATAGATCTTTAATGCAACACAATAACCATTGAAACAAGGTTCCCCACTGGAAGTTACATACTGCATCTTTAATGACTTGGTGAGTACACTGCAAAAAGGAAAATTATATAATAATAATAATAATAATAATAATAATAATAATAATAATAATAATAATAATAATAATAATAATAATTATTTAAAATAAAAAAGTATATCTGGTATAAAGCCAAAGACGAATCCTGCTTGTGTCTGTTGTATAGTTATAATCTATGACACCTTTAAGACACCTTTTAAGACACCCAAAGAGCTTTATAGTTGATTGTTCATTCACTCCACACTCAGTCATGGAAGACTGATGGAAGTGAGGCTGCCAATCTGTGCCATCAGACTACCATCATCACTCACGCACACTCCACTTTCTTACTAGGAAATGATGGTGAAATGGTGAAAAAGGACACAACAGTAGTTTTCTTTCTTTTCTTTCTTTTTTTTTGCCCACCAAAATTCACCAAACATTCTCTTTGTTCCGGCTTTAAATCCACGATCTCGGGAATCGTTGCCAACACAGAATGTCTGTCTTCGTCTACATCCATCTTGACCGTTTTGTTTACTGTTGTGCTGTTCCACAAAAGGGACCCAGACAGGCGCTTGAGTATGACGTCATGGCTTCACAGCTCTTCGTTGATTGGCTGGTGCGTGGTCTACAACTTCCAGGGTTCTTGCAAACTGTCCAGTGTATTCTGATTCCTGACCTAGAATCCTTACCTGAGAGGACGCACTAGGTGGCACCAGTCTGGCAAACTTGGAAGTGGATGGAGCTACAGGTTGGAGACCCCAAATCGAAAAGAACTTAACGAAAGAAACCAGTTTGTTGACTTCTACATTTGAAAACCGCAGTGCCCGATGAAAGCTGACGTCGGCGTAAACATCATCACAACAAAGAGCTGTGAAGTTGTCGGCACCAGTGGTTAAAAATGGTTGCACAATGTTATAAAAATAAAATTAGAGGACGAAATAAGTACAGAGCATTGGGATGAAACAACTATAACATGGTTAATAGCTCTAAAAAGTTGATTTTGCGTAATAGGTCCTCTTTAAATCCATTAATATTTAAAATTAAGTAATTTCATCATTTTTACTTTTTTTTTTTACAATGTAAGAACTGGAATAAACAAATCTGGATAAATATGATAAGCCTAAATATAACATTTGTGTATACGACTGGGGCTTATCACACACAATGAGCGTTATCAGTGCTGGTGGGGTTTCCTCTCGGACAGGAAATGGACTTCCTTGTCTTCCTGTTCTCCTGAGTTTGGCCCTAGAGGCTTCCATAGAGAACAATCAGTGTAATGAGTGTGGCAGGGACCAAGCAGGGCAGAAATGGGGCTAAAATAAGACAAAACAATGTACGGCGAAACTGAAGACAACGTGGAAATTATGTGAAGAGGAGAAGGACGAATCAGCAATGGACTACGAGCCAAAGAAATCCAAAAAGGTACCGTGGTTTTATGGTAGTCTTGACTGTAGTAGTAGTAATAATAGTAGTACTCACAGACACATAGCGCACTCCAGAGACAGTAAACCTTAAGTAGTACTTGTAGTAGTAGTAAAAGTAGTAGTAATAGCACTCTGAACAGTGTCTTTAAAGAGTTAGTCAAGTAAATGTACGTGAATACTACCCAGTTACAGTAGTAGAGGAAGTATTGGAGGTTGCTGGTGGTTCACGCTACATACCCCCAAAAAGTATATTCAAGGGTTTCTTTCATGGGCCCCTATCACACCGTTGCCTGATCTATATTATGATGTTGTTTATTCATCACAAACAGACCTGGAGTTGTGTTTTGTTTCATTCACACATTTAGCACACAAAGCTCGTTTTTAGGGTGTGTTCTTCTGTCAAAAGGAAAATACTCTACCTCTCTATTCTACCTCATGAGGTCATGTGGTAATACAGGAAGTGCGCCACTGTTTATAAAGACATTTTTTTTTCCTTGGCACAAACCTGGAGCTGTGTTTTGCTTTCTCCATGCTCGTTTGATGTATCCTTGTGTAGTAGTTATTCAAGAGTATGATCTCTCATGCTTAAGGACTGTACAGGTATTAGCTTGCACAGTGATATCTGTCCTGGGTGCCGGTCAAGACACAGGAGACAGGATGAAGATGAGACGTCTTATGTGGCTTTAATGAAGCTCAGGCAGCATCGTAGTTACATTAGTATGTTTGTGGGCTATAAAGAAAGAAAATAATTTACCGTAATACAGTAAAGAAATAACGGACATAGACTGACTAAATAACAAATACACAGGTTTATCAGAATAAAGCTAAAATAAAATTTTAAGTATAATAATAAAGGTACACGGCATACCAAAAATAGCATTAGTACCAAAGCGAACTCCCTTATTAATTGCACAACTAAACAAATATTATATTTAAGAACATGAGGAACACATCTAAATATTCATAGAACAATAACAAAGGGCTTATCAACCATCCATGCAGTTCTGAAGGACTGAATGAATCAACAACTCACAACTTGAGCTGACGTCTGCACGCTGAAGCCTCATGAAGTAATTAAGGCTGTGGACAGTGTTGCCAGATTGGGTTTAGTGAGTTCTGCAGCTTCTGCAAAAAATGTCATTTAGCCTAATGAATAAACATGATGTATTGTAATCTATTGGACTGATAAAACATATTACATAAAACCTTTGGTAAAACATAGAACAATGTTTTCATCATGCATAAAAATGAATATCATCAATGATAGGCTATAGCCTCAGCTACTGCAAGAATAGCTGGCAAGCACAGAGCCTACCTACTCAAACATCGAAGAACTGAATCTCTGGACAGGAGTAAAAGTCCCATATGGTTCCTTGTATTAGCATCACGTTAGTTAAGCTCGTATCTCCCTGCTGTAGTACTTGCACCGTGCCTTTGATGGATCTTACAGGACAGGTGCAGTCCATGTTTTTAAAGTTTCATCAGCCTCCAACTCCTTTCTGTAGTGTTTTGTATATTTCCCCCACTTTGAAATTGAGCAAAAAATGCTGTTTAGCGTTTAAAAAATGGTAGCATGGCAGTTGACGGGTAGCCTTTTAAACATTCTGAAATGTGTAATTTTTTATCTGACCTATTCTGATGCCCCCATCTTGCCAGCCCTGTCTGCAGCTGAGTGTGGTCGCTATACAGCCTGTAATTGGAACAACATTTATTTGATTTATTTATTGAATGACATATATGATTGGTGTGAAAACAAAAAAAAAAACACCTGTACTTTTTGAAAGTAGCCCAGATATTATTTGCCCTCCAAAGGTTTCCCCTTCCCACCAAAAAGAAGCTCAAATGGGCAGGCACCTGCCCAATCTGGCAACACTGTCTGCAGATGGGGCAGGTGCTCTGAAATAAAGGGAGCATTCACTCCCCAGCACCACTAGGGGGCACTCTATACTAACCTACTGCCTTTCCCACAGTAAGTCTGCTCCCTCTGACCATCATAAAGTCATAACACATACATCTGAGCATTTCAGCTGTCAGATCATGTTCATTGTAAGTGCTCCTGTTCGCATGTCTGATTGTTAACTTTAGTTTATGGCCTATTTATTCAAAAGTTTTTCCTTTTTAGATTAGAACAGGATTGTGAGCTTTGGAGATGTAGACAGACTAATAATAAAGGGTTATTCAAACATATAAATGAAACAAAACACCACTCCAGTTATGTTTTTTGATAAGGTAACAGCATTCTAATATGATTTAAAGCTCACTAGAGTCAATTTAGAACATTTCAACATCAAGTAATAAAACTACCACCTCCACACTTCTGCCCTTGTGTAGGGTTTCGTGTCACCCATCAAACGTCTGGTCTGGTCAAAGTCTGGGCGTAGGACAGTGGACCGTAGCAGTGTTTACAGACGCCCACTGCACACTGTGCCGCTGTATGCCCCTGATTACCTCATCCACCCGGAGAGGCTCATCTTTGACTATGTGGAGAAAGAAGTCAAGGTATGTTCAATCCTCACGGAAAGTATGGAGCTCAACAGTGACCGAACACCCCCTGGTTTCAAAAGTAAAAAAGAGGGAAAAAAGCATTAAAGCAGACCTATTATGTAAAATCAACTTTTCAGAGATTTTAACCATCTTGTAGCTGTTTCTCCTTCTGATTTACCCTCTCACGATCTTTAATCACTTATTTTCAAGAAGACATTTTGACAGTAAACTCTCTGTAAACATTCTGTACTTACTACGTTCGCCAGTTTTACTGTTGAGTTCCATAGAGGTAAGAATCAAATGTAGCAACTTGACTAAAAGACATTATAGAGCATGAATCAATGAACAATGCAACAGCAAGTAGTTATTTTATTATGATAGTCAACCTTTTTTTTTTTTTTTTTTTTTAAATAATAACTTTAGTTTCTTGGCCATCTCACCTGGGTATCTGTGTCTTTAAACCCATCAAGTCGAGATGAGCTGCTGCAACTTTTGGACACCGCCAGGGTGAGTAAAGTCATTGTTTTCTTGTTTTCCCTTATCTGCACTTTTGTTCTCACATTAACTAATTATAATGTACTTCTACTACTAATTGAGAATTTTACTATGAAGTAACTTGACATAATGACATCAACTACTGTATTTTTTGGACTATAAGTCGTACCAGCCAAAAAATACGTAAGGAAGAAGAATAAAAAACATATATAACATATATAAGTCACACCGGACTTTTTGGGTGAAATTTATTTTATAAAATCGGAGACCAGGAACCGACATTTCATCTTAAAAGGTAAGTTATAGTAACAACAATAGAACAGAGAACAACAAACTGTTAACGTCGTATATGAACAGTTCGTCAGATAACTATAGCATAAACAACAGAACAGAACGAGTTTACCAAACTCTCCATCTCACTCCAAATCATTAAAACCATTGAATTGTTCATCCTTGGTGCCACTTCGGAGCAACTCTGTGACCTCTGGATGTAAATGGAGCGACACTTCCTCTTCTGTGTAACTGTCTTCATTCTCAGCATCAGTACCAGTTAGAACTAGAAAAGCACTCAGAGAGCGCAGACCTCTGCCAAGGACTACAGTCCCCCTCATATTAATTGTGTTTTCCATAAATATTTGTCTCGTATCTTTCAATTTGGAATATGAAAGAGGATCCGATTGTCCATCCCTGAGTCAAATTTCATGGGGTTTGGTCAATAATTAACCGAGATATTGAGAAACAAAATTTCTGGCCCCATTTACCACAATCTTAACTAAAATTTCAAAGTGATCCAGAATCCAGGATTTCTTCCGGATCACCCCCAAAATGAAATCAGTTCTTCCTTTTCACATTTCCAACAAATCCTGCAAATTTCATCAAAATCGGTCGATAACTTTTTGAGTTATGTTGCTAACAGACAAACAAACAAACAAACAAACAAACAAACAGACAAACGCCGGCAAAAACACAACCTCCTTGGTGGAGGTAATTATTCTGGCCTATCTGAATCCTGATAGGATGGTTTCGGTTGTCACTGAAGTCCAGGCTTTGTCGATCCATCCAGTGACTTCCAGGAAAGTTGCATGGTGCCTCCCAGTGTCACAAGTTTCTCGCTCACTCCAAACTTTCTTTCTGCTGCTCGATTACGGTTTTCATTTGGGGGCATTTGTGTTCAGTCTTCACAGTTGTCTTTATAAGTTAAAGTAAAATTTAAAATTTTCAGTAATACAGAAGTAATGATGCGATCGACTGACATGACAGACAGGACAGTGGCTCTTTCTGCAGCTGAAGTGACAGTGGTACAGGAGTAGTAGGAGTAGCAGATACTGACACACAAGCCTAGAGCACCCTCTCTTGGCTGTCAGTGTGAAAATTTTAATATATAAGTCACAGGACCACCCAAACCATGAACAAAGTGTGACTTACAGTCTGAAAAATACAGTACTCAATAGAGGGCTGTGCAATAATCAGAATTTAATTAATAACACTTTGTCAATATAATTCATTCACATTATTCGTCCCTTAAGGGCAAATTATAAGCCACAGAAAGAAGCAGAGTTAATTTATTTATTCCCCATACATACATTTTGAAAGGAAACCAAGCACACATGTTAGTCTAGTGTGTCTTGTGGTGTTTAGCAGTTGAAGGTTCTGCCTCTGAAGACGAGTGTGGAGCAGGACTGCATCCTGAGTCTGTCCGCCCGGTGTCTGCTGCTCACCTGGAGAGACAACGAGAAGCTCCTGATGCGCATCCCCACCCACCAGATCGCTGCTGCCTCCTACTTGCGGGATGACGCACTGCACCTGCTTGTCCTTAAAACAGGTGAGACTCAAAAACAGAGGAGATAGAGCTTCTGTTAGTGCTCAAATATCTCTCATTACATATCAGAGTGGCTACATGCCTGGTTTTCATTTGCTGCTGAATACACAGTTTGTACACTTCTGCTTGTACACACTTCAAGCAGATTTTCTATCATTTTATCATAGGTCAAGAATCAGAATACACTAAATGGTTTGCAAGAACCTCTGAAACTGTAGCCCGTGCACCAGCCAGTCAGCGAAGAACTGTGAAGCCATGACTGGGTCCCTTTTTGTGGTACAGCACAACGGGATTTTGCGTATCACAAACATCACAACCAAACAGCAGCGACTGGTTTGTCGAGCGAACGGATCTTAATGCTGCGAGGTCAGACAGTTTCCACGAAGTGAAACCGGCTGATGAATCAGGCTAAGTCTGCTGTACATCTACATCTTAAAGTCAATAACTCCTTTAAAGATAGTGAGGTGCACGAGTTAGCCAGAGAAAGGAATCGGTTTGAGAGGGCAATTAAAAAGGAAAGTCAGTCCCTCTTTGAACAGAAATGGAAGAGCGACATCGCCTCTCTCCTATTTACATCCAGAACACTGCAGCTCAGGTCCTTACTCAAACTAGGAAGTACGAGCACATAAGTCCTGTGCTCAGGTCTCTGCACTGACTTCCTGTGGCTCAGAGACTTTAAAGCAGCTCTGCTTGTGTACAAGTCTCTCCATGGCCGAGCACCAAAGTACATCTCTGACATGTTAGTGCCACGTGAACCATCTCGCACTCTGAGGAGCTCAGGGACCGGCCTCCTGCTGGTGCCCAGAGTCAGGATTAAACAAGGGAGTCAGCTTTTCAGGTTCACGCAGCTAAAACCTGGAACAGTCTTTCTTAACATGTGAGACAGACTCTTCTTTGACTCTGTTTAAATCCAGGCTCAAAACTGTTCTGTTTCACTGTGCATATAACTGAAAGGTTTTCATTCCGCAGTCTTCTCTCTAATTTATGTCTCTCTTTTTAAATTTTAATCTTTATGATTATTTGTTTTGATTTGTTTTTATTGTGATTTTAATGTATTTCTTATTCTGTAAAGCACTTTGAATTACTTTGTGTGCGAATTGTGCTATACAAATAAACTTGCCTTGCCTTTACAACTCAAATCCTCAAACCTAAATCAAAACAAAGAAAACAATAGTGGTAGCCTGTATTAAACTCAAGCGCCTGTCTGGGTCCCTTTTGTGGAACAGCACAACAGTAAACAAAGTGGTCGAGATGGATGTAGATGAAGACAGACATTCTATGTTGGCAACAATTCCCGAGATCAAGGATTTAAAGCTGGAACAAAGAGAATGTTTGGTTAATTTTATCGAGGGGAAAGATATTGTTGTCCGTCTTCCTACGGGATTTGGTGCGCTACATATGTCACGACCAAATAGCAGTGATTGGTTAAATCAGAAAAGTACCCACCTACCATTGAGCGAACGAATCCTAATGCTGCGACGGAACAATGACATTTATTTATAATTTTGCATAATATATGTGAAAATCCACTGTTGAGTTGTATTGTTTCCCAAGAATTACCTTGACTTCAACACCGTTTTTTTCCACAGGTTTGAATGTGGACACTGTAGTTGCCGGTGACGACAGCGGAGCCAACAGTCGACGCCAGAGCGTGAGCAGCAACAATGACCCTCGTCCTGAAGGGGGAACCATGGAGCGGCGCCACATCATCTGCGGGGTGGACTGGAGGCCGTCCCTGTCCCGGAGCAGCCACGACAAGAACCAAGCCCAGAACATGGACCGAGCAGGGGAGCGGGTCGGGGGAGGGGGCAGCCTGGAGAGGAAGAGGGTTGGGGGCAGCTGGGAGCGGAGGCAACCCACCCGAAAACCTGGGGGGAGCTGGGAAACCGCCGAGCCCGTCCCATGAGCGGGAGTTGGGAGAGGAGATTGGGGGCGGGCAGCTGGGAGCGGAGAGGGGGCACGGAGAGGGGCGGACCGGGCTCAGGGGCAACGGGAGGCAGCTGGGAGAGACGCCAGGCTTGCACCGGGAGCTGGGAACGGGGCAAGAGCTACGGAAGCTGGGAGAGGAGGAACCACAACCCCCTGGAGCCCACGCCCTGCCCCGACGCTTACTGCAACCTGGTCATTCTGGCTGTGGAAAACAGGGTGGGTGTGGTGGAGAATATTAATAATTAGTTTTATAATATTTCCCCTGATTTTCTGAAAGTTATCTCATAGAATCTGTGGAGTATAATTTAAACAATATACTTTTTATATTTAGGATAGTACAGTTATAGCAAAATGTGATTTTTTTATGCCAATATATAGGCCAAGTCCAGGTTAGGGGTCAGCATAGGTGGTGCCTATATTTGCAAATGTGTTTAGCTTTTATTAATAATTAGACTACCAGTGAAAAGTCTGGACATGCCTTCTCATTTCATATTTATTTATTTTTTCTTCTGGTTTACAGCTTTCTAGAATCTATATACATACCAAAGACATCAAATTTGACATGCAAGATATGTGGAATTACTGTGGAGTATTCAAATTCCCGAAAGTATCCAACCTTTGATTTGTCTACAAGCTGCAAACTCTTGCACTAAGCTTTGTCAGGGTTCATTAGCGGAACGCCGAGGGTATGCAAAGTAGTGATCAAAGCAAAGGGTTTATGATTTTTTTTTTTTTTAAGTTACAAATTATTTTCAGTTTATTTTGTTCACATTTCCTATGTGTTTGTTCATAGCAATATCTTCTGTGAGAATCTATAGTACTGGTTGTGTAGTTACAAACTTTTACCACTAAGGCGAGGTCCCTAAACATTCTGGGCTGTCACACCTTGACGATTTAGTCAGTGTATGCCGACATAGGAAAAATTTGGCAAATACGTTGGTGCACGTCAGATAAGTTCTAGGTAAGTTTTATATAAATTATGAGCACGCTCATCACATGGCAAGGCTGTCGAAAAATTTTGAGCATGCTGAACATTTCTCGACATATGTCAGCATATGCTTATTGGTCCTGCATAAGTGGGCCATAAGTTGTAGGTAAATTATGTGATCGTTGACTCACGTTCACACACGTTAATTGTAAGTTACTCATAAATCCAAATACGTTAAGATAAGGTCTAGCATAACCATAACTTGATTGAGATTGACATGAGTAACGTGCTTTGAACCTATGAGTAACTTATATCGAACTTATCTCCACACATATGCAGACACATTTGATATGTTCTGATGACTACAGAACTTACTGAACATGTTTCTAACTTTAGCTACCGTATAACTGGGAATTGGTATGAAAAAAATGGGAAAACCATCAGTACTCCTCCAGACTTCATGGTGAGCAGACCCCACAGTACCACCCAGTACACATATCATCCGAGAGATGGAAGATGATATGTGCAAGACTGAGACGAGAATACATAGCTGTCCTCCAACATCAGCATGATCTCATTGATTTGTCACTGTACCAGTTGCTTACCAATAGAGCCAGGAGAAGAAGAGATCACGCTGATTAATGTTGCTACTGCGATGTCCAACTCATGCTTGCTGTGTGCTGCCAGCGTCCACAACTTATGCTCAATGACAGTCTAACTTACGCACAGTGCATGGCAGTGTATCGCCAACGTTAATGTGTCATTCGCCTATAAAAAGGCTACCGCTCGACGATTCACAACTGCACTGGTACAAATTATCAAAACGTTCTATATAAGTTACTAATATGTTATGTACACGTTCAACTTATTTTATAATTTAACATTGATAGTTCAGCATTTTAGGGTAATTCTGGTACATCGGCATACGCTGGCTAAATCGTCAAGGTATGACAGGGTCTTTAGCACCTCTTTATTCGACTTCCTGTTGTGTTCTCTTGTTGGGTTCTGCTGTTGGGTTCACCTGACGCCCCCTGGAGGCTGTTGTGATGCTGCAGGACACAGAGGAGGGACACATTTGTCTCTTCCTCTCCTCAAACTGCCCTGACACAGATCTGCTGACCTTACTTGACCAGACTTCCTGTTGAACTGCACTGAGACCTTTGACTGTGACGTAGAGGCCACTGAGAAGCACAGTGTAAATGTTGCAGCAACAAAACTTGAATTTCTCTGGGGATCAAGAAAGTATCTCTCTTTCTCATTTGACCTGCATGTAGACTGTGACTGGGCCAAGGCCTTATCCAGGTTGTCTGGATAAACAAGACAAAGACTAGATAAAGAGTAAACATGAGTATAGGTTATTACACATGTACACATAACACAATTGAACTTAACCTCTTCATTCTACTCTCTCCTGAATGATTGACTCACTGGTTGTATGCTGTTTTGATACAGGATGCTGCAGAAGAATATTGCTCCCTCATTTGTCAAATGTTCCAGATCATTTACGGGCATCGGACCATTGAGTGTGTTGACCGAGCGGGCTTCCACCACACCCTGCCAGATCGCTACTGGCTGCAGAGGAGTCAGTATGCTTTGATTTGATTTTCAAGCCGGGGAACATTAGTGCGTTGAGATATTTCCAGGGTGTGCCTTGGAAAAAAGTCAGATTTCGGTTAAAGGTCGTATATTACGCAAAATAGACAGTTGTGAGCTTTAAGCCATGTTATAATGCTGTTACCGCATCAAAAACATACCTGGAGTTGTGTTTTGTTTCATTCACACGTTTGAGTAAAACTTTATAATTAGTCCGTCTACATCTCTATAGTTCAGAATGCTCAGACAAAAGCTTTATGTTGACGACATGAAATGATTTGAGCACTTGCTTCTCGCACCTCTCCTTCAGATATAATGCAGTTTATCTCTATCCTTTCAAAATACCAGAGTTTGTGCTTTAATTAACAGTTCATCCTTCAAATTATACTGATTTCACATTATACATCAGTTACATTTTATTCTCTTTAAGTTATAGTGGTAGCAGTTTTCCCAAATCCTTTTTTACTCTTACATGAGTAATTTCCTGCACCACTACATTGTATTTCTATTTAATATTATGCTGAAGTAATGTTACTTTTACTTGAGTAAAATTTTTGGCTACTCTACCCACATCTGATTATTTGATATACATACAAAAATTTCATTTTGCTCCCCCTGCCATAGTGTTTAGCAATAAGAGAACAGAAAATAAAAAATGAATGGAAACATGTTTAAAATATTCAAATAAATACAAGAGTTGACAAGCTGGGTGTAATGAGAAATATCCTGAAATAAGCCATAATGTAAAAGTAAATGTGTTTGTTGTCTTTCCTGTCACAGGCGACAGCTGCCTCACTGATGTGTCGTACAGTTATGACCCAGAGTTCAGCTGCTGCAGCTCCTAGTGAGTACCCCCACCCCTAAAAGTGCTCAAATCCACACTTCCAACCAAACGTTAGACACATTCTTTCATTCTTAGACATAGAGAAACTTTATTGATCCACAAGAGAAATTATTTGGACACAGTAGCTCACACATCACACTGTATTATTATAACAAAAGAGAAATGGGAATAATACATTGCAAATATGTAGCAAAGATAGCAAATGACTGGTCTCAAATAAGGTGTAAGTAAAAATAAAATACTGAACTAAAGTAATAAAAATATGTATCAGCTATATACAAGAGGTCGTAAAGGAAAACAGTGCAAAGGACATAGAGCTATCTGTTACATAAGGGTGAGATGTTGTACAGTTGTAGGGAGTATTATCTGTTACATAAGGGTGATATGCCGGGAATGAGACAACAGCTCCTGCTCGGGTCATACAGGGAGCGGACAGCCCTTAGCAAAGGACCTCGAACACCCAGAGCACCACTACGAGGGACGCTGCAGTAAGTCAGACCTGTTCCCGGTGCATGTTGGACTCCGCCAGGGCTGCCCTTTTGTCACCGGTTCTGTTCATGTTATTTATGGACAGAATTTCTAGGCGCAGTCAGGGGTCGGAGGGGGTCCGGTTTGGGGCCCACAGGATCTCGTCTCTGCTGTTTGCAGACGATGTTGTCCCGTTGGCTTGATCAGGCCATGACCTGCAATGTGCACTGGGGCGGGTTGCAGCCGAGTGTGAAGCGGATGGGATGAGGATCAGCTCTTTCAAATCTGAGGCCATGGTTTTCAACTGGAAAAAGGTGGTTTGCCCTCTCCGGGTGGGTGGAGAGTCCCTTGTTCACGAGTGAGGGGAGGATGAGATTGACAGGCAGATCTGTGCCGCGTTGGTAGTGATGCGGTCACTGTATCGGACCGCTGTGGTGAAGAGGGAGCTGAGCCGAAAGGCGAAGCTCTCGATTTACCGTCAATCTATGTTCCTCCCCTCACCTATGGTCATGAGCTTTGAGTAATGACCGAAAGGACGAGATCGCAGATACAAGCGGTCGAAATGAGTTTCCTCCGCAGGGTGGCTGGGCGGTCACTTAGAGATAAGGTGAGGAGCTCAGTCACACAGGAGGAGCTCGGAGTAGAGCCGCTGCTCCTCCATGTCGAGAGGAGCAGCTAAGGTGGCTCAGGCATCTGTTCCGGATGCCTCTTGTCCGCCTCCCTCTGGAGGTGTTCCAGGCATGTCCCACTTGCTGGAGCTGGAGAAAGTGTCTGGGGTGAAGGAAGTCTGGGAGTCCCTCCCTGCTGCCCCACAACCCAGACCTGGATAAACAGAAGAAAATGGATGGATGGATAAGTGTGAGATGTTGTACAGTTGTAGGGAGTATTATCTGTTACATAAGGGTGAGATGTTGTACAGCTGTAGGGAGTATTATCTGTTCCTCTATAGTCTGGGTCAGTGGGTTTGCAGGAGTGTCCATGATAGAGAGCAGTTTGTCCATTGTCCTCCTGTCCCTCACAGTGACAAATGTCTCCAGCTCACAGCCAATAAGAGATCAGAAAAGTTACACAGTACGCCTTTAACTCATGAGTTACATTTTGGCAATGTTATCGTGTTCACTTGTGTTTTTCAGTGATGGGTCCCAGGAAGCCTTTGAGATGTACTACAGTGAAACGTACAGTGAGAGCTCGTCCCAACGCAGTGTGGCGTCTGCCAGTGACGGAGACAACAGCGCCGCCCTGCTGCTCATGCATGACTACATGACTACTGTGAGGCCCCATGCAGCACTGCTTTTTCTGTCTCCCTTTGTTACATGCATTTTCTCAAGTTCATCTTGTTTTAAGATTTTTATTTATTTACTTATTTATTTATTTATTTTTGATAAGTTTCAACATAATTTTGATCAAATTTTTTTCTAAATTTAATTTAATAAATTAATTAATTTAATTAATTAATTTTATTTTTTCAATTTTTTATTTATTTATTGTTTTTCTTTCCATTTTGTTATTTATCTTTTGTTTTATTTGTGTTATGGGGGAAATGGAACCCTGTCTAAAATAGCTAACATTTTTACCTGAATGAATGTCTTTGTACGTTCCTGTGATGCTCTCCTGGGAAATCTTGACAGACATTCTGACTGTGAGCTCATGTTAGCGGTCAGAAATTGAATACATTTAAGAGCCACAGCCTTAGATGATGCACAGTTAGATGTTTATATGCTCAAAACATGCACAATGCAAGTCATCAAAATGACACATTCTAACATTATAATTAGCATGTCATGTCTGTATTGTACTTATTGTTTATTGTGTGTTGTGCAAACGTTCAGCACTTTGCCCATGACAAATTTCCCTCTGGGACAGATAAGTATATTTGAAACTTAGGGTGTTTTCACACCGACAGTATTTGGTGCGCACCAAACGGTCCATTCGAACCAAAAGTGGTTAGTTCGGTTCGTTTGCGTTGGTGTGAAAGCGTTAATCGGACTCGGACCCGAACCAAATCAAGCGGACCGAGACCGCAAAAAAGAGGTGGTCTCGGTTCGCTTGAATCCGCACCAAATGACCAACTTTGGTGCGGTTCCTCTGGTGTGAACGCGAACCCGGGTCCAAACCATAGACAGTATGGACAAACAGACTATTTGAAATGCATCATGGGAGGGACACGCGTCTCCTCTGCCTGAAATGACTCCAGCGCAGTAACAGATTGTTGTCCAGACGCAGACGCGATTCATTTTTGAAATATTTTACCAACAATGGCCAATACAGAGAATGTAACACACAAAGATCAGAGCAAGTATCAGTGTGCGAACGTGTGGTTCCAGAGTGAGTCAAAATTGGGGGTGCGCACCCCTGTTCGGGACCTACAAGCACAGAGAAGTCCCGGTGTTCCCCGTGATCACACAGCAACCAACATTTGTTATTTTAGGCTCTAATTAACCAAATAATTTCATGGCAATAGGCAATCGCCCATTCAATTGATACAACTTAAAAAAGTCCCTGTTTTTAGCCTAGTGTGAGAAATACAGTCGGACTAGGTCCAAACCAGAGTCCTGAACCAGCGGGGGCAGCTCCAGTTCAGGCCGGGCTCAGAGGAGCTGGAGCGGGGAGCCTCGACCTGAGGAAGCACTTTCCCCGGGAAGAACCAAATGCGCGGAGGACGGACGCTCAGAACAACATATAACAAACCAAACTGGACTCACGCTTCTGTCCGGATGCTGCACCACCTTGGAACCAGCCGCGGTTCTTGAGCGCGGAGAACCGGAGCAGCGCGCCCGGACCTGTAGTCCACAGCGCATTCTTGCTTTTCCCGCACGGAAACAGCGCGCAGACGACTGAACGTACCCGCTCGGACTCAGTCCATCAAGCACTGGTCTTGCTCGCCACCGTTTGGAACCAGCACATGGAGTACAGAGCCTCCGGACCATCTGACCAACGCGCTTGTAACAGAAGACCAAGGACCAGACCCCAGCCCCGTCCTGAGGAGCTGCGCGCTACTTTGAGCGCTGTTGGCTGCTGCTGTTACCCGAACTCTGGGCTGATGCGGTGAGTTTGTACAAAGTTCTACATGTTGCTGTTTTATGAGTTCATGGTGATAATTTGAGATGAGGACGGCCCGTGGTATAATCGGTGTTGATAACTGGAGTATCGCTGTTTTACCGGGGAAACAGAGACACGTCAATCGAACCAGTTTTGGTTTGTTTGCCGGTGTGAAAGCGGACCACACTGGAGTGTATCTGCTACATAATAACAATTTTATTGCCTGGTGCGGACCAAATAATCGAACTAGCGGTGTGAAAACGACCTTAGTCTCTGCCCTAATAAATTTTAACATTTTGTAAAATTAATACAACACTGACCCTTTAAATGCCAGCTTGAAAACTCTGATTTCATATGTAGTGTAAAAGTTGAGATATCTTTCAGAAAACTGATGCCATGGTATAATTTTATTTGTGCTCTAAGAAGTTTGAAGTTTGTAGCCTTTTTAGTTTATGTACAGGATCAGGCAACAACAAACCTCCTCCTTACGACCCTAAGAACAGATATGTCCATTATTTGGGAAGAAATATGTCTGGTCACTTAACTTGGTGTCATTAACCTTAGATAAAATGTTCAACCCGACGTGAATGTGTGTCTGTTTTCTTTAAGGAATGCGGTCGTTCATCCCTGACCAAGATGTGGGAGTCTTTGAAAGTTTCCTGGAGAGCATCGGCATCAGAGAGGGCGGGATTCTAACCGACAGCTTTGGACGCATCAAACGCAGCATGAGCAGCACGTCAGCCTCTGCCATGAGAGGGTACACACGACACCACTCACACTTCACCCAAACACATGCCCTGGGCCTCTGCCATGAGAGGGTACACACGACACCACTCACACTTCACCCAAACACATGCCCTGGGCCTCTGCCATGAGAGGGTACACACGACACCACTCACACTTCACCCAAACACATGCCCTGGGCCTCTGCCATGAGAGGGTACACACGACACCACTCACACTTCACCCAAACACATGCCCTGGGCCTCTGCCATGAGAGGGTACACACGACACCACTCACACTTCACCCAAACACATGCCCTCAGCCGATGGACTAATGACTTCTGAAACAATCTGATGTGGGTAGAGGAGCCAAAAATTGTACTCAAGTAAGAGTAGCTTCAAAATAATATTACGCAAGTAGAAGTTTGAAGTAGTGGTCCAAGAAATTGCTCAAGTAAGAGTAAAAAAAGTACTTGGGAAAACTACACTTCCTTAAAGAGTATTATAAGTAAAGTCATGATTTAAAGTTAGAACAAAAATTAAATAATGAACAAAATGTATGATTCTTTCCCCAAAGGACAGACACAAAAAAGAGAAAAACTAAAATCATATCTGAAGAAGTGGTGCAAGAATCACAAATGTTCAAATAATTTCATATTATCAGAAAGCTTTTGTCACTTGTAGACTTACTCACAGTGGAAAGACTGACACAACCTTTCATCAAGTAAAAGTACTGTTACTTCAATTAAAATATTCAACAAGTAGGAGTAAAAGTGTGCTGCTAGAAAAGTACTCTGAAAAGAACAGTTGCTTTAGAAAGTTCCTCAGGTAAATGTGACTGAGTACTACCCTCCTCTGGTAACCACGACTGCCCCGTGGACACATAAGCAGAGACTTGAGTCCCTCACAAATCACTCGTTCTCACTCAGACTCACGAATGGACTCATCAAGTCACATCAGAGGGGAACCCTCAGGACCTTCGAGGTATTCAGGGAAGGTAATGGAAATGGACCAATCTCACGCTCCGTCCTCCCCCTCACTCGTGAACAAGACCCCGAGATACTTGAACTCCTCCACTTGAGGCAAGGACTCCCCACCCACCCGGAGAGGGCAAGCCACCTTTTTCCGGTCGAGAACCATGGCCTCGGACTTAGATGAGCTGATGCTCATCCCAGCCGCTTCATACTCTGCTGCAAACTGCCCCAGTGCACATTGCAGGTCTTGGCTTGATGGGGCCAATAGGACAACATTGTCTGCAAACAGCAGAGATGAAATCCTGTGGTCCCCAAACCGGACCCCCTCCGACCCCTGACTGCACCTAGAAATTCTGTCCATAAATATAATGAACAGAACCGGTGACAAAGGGCAGCCCTGGCGCAGTCCAACATGCACCGGGAACAGGTCTGACTTACTGCCGGCAATGCGAACACAGCTCCTGCTCCGGTCATACAGGGACTGGACAGCCCTTAGCAAAGGGCCCCGGACCCCATACTCCCAGAGCACCCCCCACAGGACACCACGAGGGACACGGTCAAATGCCTTCCCAAGTCCACAAAGCATGTGTGGACTGGTTGGGCAAACTCCCATGAACCCTCGAGCACCCGATGAAGAGTTTTTCTCCCAATGGTATCTAGGTAAATCAGTGACTCTCCCTGCAGGCACTGAACTAAAGAAACACCTGCAGGGCCTTCGGTGGCTGGAACAAAGGCCTGTGCAATACAAGTCAATGTGGGGATGAAGCTCAGAGCCATGACCTGGCAGCGGATCCATCCATCTGTGGTTGTTGAACAGTAGCTTATGATTATTATACAAATATATGAAGTAAGTGAATGTGTGATTTGCTTCATTTAGCTTTTTTTTTGTTTTTTTTAAATAAATGATGTCATGATAGCCAGCAGTTGGTCCTAGAGAAGGCCCAGGGTCCAGGTCCACGGTTTGCCTCTAAGTCACACATATAACATGCCTAAAAATATGCAATGTAAAAATGTACATTGTCATGGTTATGGTTGGTGGCTTTAAGATATAATTATTTTGTGCCATGCAGCCTCAAATTTTAAGTAGGATTCAAGCAAGAAAAATAAATAAAATTAAAATATTTTGATTTTTTTTTTTTTTTTTTGTTAAAAGTTCATATGCTCCTGATCAAACACATCAGCCTCTGCCTTACTGTTCTTTTTATAGTTTTGCCATAGTAATTTCCCTTTATATTAAATTGTAAAATCATAAAATCCCCAGTAAAGTCAACTAAAACTATTTCATTTAAGAAGTTGTGATATTTGGTACATGTTTAA